CCTGGAGTGTTTCTCTCCTGACTTAAGGCCTAATGCTTCACAGACAGGGGATAGAGATGGGGGCTGGTCCCAGACCTGCCCAGTGACCAACTCCAAGCCCTGAAGTCATTCATGAAATACAACTGCTGAAGGGCGACCTTCCCACGGCCATCCCTGTTGTGATGGACAGAATTAAGTACTTCTGGATCTAAGAGCTGGAACAGTGCAGGCTTGGGCAAGTTACCCAGGCAACCAAATAACTCTGGCAGTATGCCATTTAGGCAGCTTAAAAATACGCAGACATGCAGGGCTGGCAGGGACAGCAGAGAGGGAGTTCAAGTCGCAGATCCCAGAGACCCACGCCTGTCCCATGGCAGGCAGGCTCAGGTACCCACATTCCTCAGGGGTCTCCACTCGTGGCCTTAAAACACCTAGACAAAGAGCTGCCTTGGTGCCCCAGAAGACAGGAGAGGGGACACGGAAGAAGGGAGCCAGGAGGGACTAAGGGGTAACACACCTTCTGAGGACCCGCTGTGCCAGGCTGGGTAAGACACTCGGCTTGGCTACCCACCGCCGAGTCATAGAACAATGTGGCTGGGCACAGCAGAGGATTTAAGGGATGCCTCAGACCTTTCCGGTTTCCAAAAGAAATCACCGTGGCCCAGGATGGGGAAGGTGCTTGGCTGGTCACATCGGCAATGGTTGGAGTGCCCGGGCTGCAAAGCCCAACACTGTAGGCCCCGGCTAGGCCAGACAGCAGCCCTGAGGTGATGCAGCGTTCCCTCAAACCGAAGCACACTCCCCAAGCTCCAGGCACGGACTGCCCCAGGGAGGGACAGTATCCTAAAACCTCCAGAAGACCAGCTGGGGCTCAGGGATGGAAGGAGAGCTTATGCAGAGCAAGCCCCTCTGCCTTGAGAGACATGTGGCCTGAAGTTCTACTACAGGCAAGAAATCACAGCAGAGCCAGCTCAGGCTCTTCCCCCCTTACACATCTCACACACACGTGTGTATACAAATGTGCACACTAGTGCACATCCACACAGACCCATAAGTGCACAAACATCCCACAGACATCCGTATGCAAATACGCATTCATCCATACATGTGCACATATTCAGGCATGCACACCCATGCATATTTATACACGTGTGCGCACACAGGTGTGTGCACACTGCTTCACCAGGTCTTGGCACTGAAGGAAAACAGTATCGGGCTGGAAAGGCGTCCGGGGGTCATTTATTTCAATTATTAAAACAGCAGCCACTTACTCTCAGGCCTTCGATAATGCCACTTAATTACCTAGTACATAAAACTGCCCTTGAATCATAGCGGAGTAATAAATCAGGTCAGAACCAAGTGGTCTAAAGACTTCTAGGTGGAGATTCTGGGGGTGGCGAGCCACCCCTCATCTCTTCACCCTCAGCCCAAGGAGGCTTTTAGCACACCTAAAAGCCTCAACTGTGGCAGGGATAAATGGGTAGCACTGGGTCAGCAAGCAGCCCTTCACCCACTGTCCACTCCTTCAGCCTGAGCCCCTGCCCTCCACCCACT